AAACCTTCAGTAAAGCTTTGGTACCATACAGCTTGTGGCACACTGAGAGTTAACATGTAGATGAAATCCTAAAAATAAAACAAAGTATCTTTAAAAAGAACAAGCAGAGGAAGAAACATTATATGCAGTATGTTATTTGGTAAAAACCAAAACAATTTAGAATTGAGTTCAGATTCAGGAAAGATCCAAAGTAAGTGTGCTTACTACCTTCTTACTACCTTCCTTAATCATACTTCAAAGAAGGTACTAGATGAGAAGGTCTTCTCCATCTTCCATCCAGCTGGACTCTGCCCACTATGTGGTTGCCCAAGTCAATTTGGAAGCTGAATTTGGCCTGTTCTGGGAAAAGTGTCATCTATCTCTGGTATGGGAAAAACATTCTGGTTTCCCGTCATTTATGTAGATCTGCTCACCCACATATGCTAGAATCATGGGAAACTGCATGCTTCAGACCCCCATTTCAAAAATCACTAAAGGAAGTCTTATGGAAATGAAAACAATTACCACTACAGAAATCACAGAAAACAAAAACTAAAATTTCAGAACACATCAGTATTGCTATGCCTCGGAAAATGTTGCATTTTTCATTATTTTCTTGGGATATTGTCAATTTCTCTTTATCACATCTAATCAATTGTGTCTCTTGCTTCCAGGGTTGGATAAAGATCAGGAACAAAATATAGATTCATTAATCATAGTGTTCTCCCTCCAGAACAGACCACTCAGACAATGAAACTGATGAGATATAACTCTCTTCTCTTTCCTGTGCTTGTTTTAAGGCCTTTTTTCCCCATGTGTGCATGTACCTACACCACCATAAAGTGTATTTTAAGTAAAGTGAAGCTCTTTTCTCAAGAACTAATGTTCTTAAAAAGAAGTCAACACAGTTCAGTAAAAAAGATGGTAACTAGTGGGACATGACAAAATCCTTTTTCAGGGGAGAGGGAAAAAAAAAAAGCTTGAAATCCAGGTTTGTAAAACCTGCTGTTCTCACAGTGCTGGCCATCTAATGCACACTTGGGTTTTCTGTCTGCAAGGGTCTCTGGACAGCACAAGTGCAGTCTTCAGCAGTAATTCCTCAAAGTGTAGAGTTATGGACTGATGGTTCATGCTTTTAGGAACAGAATTCTGTTAAGAGTTGCAGTCCTCATGCCTTGCCATGCTGGCATACTGCTTGCCATACTGCCCAGCAGTAATAAAGGAGCATCAGAATGCATTAAATGCAATTATGGGACTTACTGAGAATCTCAAAATCTGCCATGAGGTAACACACTACAAAAGCTGCTCCAAATACAGTACATAAGCATACATGCTCCAAACTCACTGAGCTGCGGTGAAAGTACCTTACATTAAAGGAGTTAAAGAATATAGTAATTATTTGTGAAAGAATAAATGAATCCTGCCACGTTTTCCTGATGATTGATGGAGATATATATATATATATTTTTGTCACTCTTGGCTGCCTCTTTTATCTTTTATATTCGGCAACACCACCAGATAGCAGTAATCATTAACAAGCTTGATCCTGCCCAAACTGGAGTAACACTGATAATTGTGCTCAAAGGGAAGTGAAAATGGGTCCCCAAATTAAGGAAGAACAATAATCCTCGTGATAATAAGATAAGGCTTCAGTGTTCCTGTCAACTGTGCTTTGTGTGGCTTTATTTGCCTTAGGGAGATGATGATATGGGGGCATGTAAAAAGAGTATTTTGCTCATCCACATCAGACATGCAGCTGCCATTTCTGATGTAAATAGAGAGGCCATATCATCAGCAGTGTAAATTGTAAAATCTACGCTGTAAAGCTGCTGATTTATAGGGATTACCTGGCCTGGAATTTGTAGTTCCAACATTGACATTAGGTTAATGATTCTCTTCGAATCATGGAATCATAAAGAAGTTAGGGTTGGAATGGAGCTTAAGATCATCTATTTCCACTCCCCTGCCATGGGCAGGGACACCTCACACTAAACCATGTCGCCCAAGGCTTTGTCCAACCTGGCCTTGAACACTGCCAGGGATGGAGCGTTCACAACTTCCCCGGGCAACCCATTCCAGTGCCTCATCACCCTCACAGTGAAGAACTTCCTCCTTACATCCAATCTATACTTCCCCTGTTTAAGTTTGAACCCATTACCCCTTGTCCTGTCACTACAGTCCCTAGCAAAAGGTGCCTCTCCAGCATCCGTATAGGCCCCCTTCAGATACCGGAAGGCTGCTCTGAGGCCTCCACGCAGCCTTCTCTTCTCCAGGCTGAACAGCCTCAACTTTCTCAGCCTATCTTCATACAGGAGCTGCTCCAGTCCCCGATCATCCTCATGGCCCTTCGCTGGACTTGTTCCAACAGTTCCATGTCCTTTTTATGTTGAGGACACCAGAACTGCACACAATACTCCAAGTGAGGTCTCACGAGAGCAGAGTAGAGGGGCAGGATCACCTCCTTCAACCAGCTGGTCACGTCCCTTTTGATGTAGCCCAGCACACAGTTGGTTTCTGGGCTGCGAGCACACACTGAAGCTGGCTCATGTTAAGTTTCTCATCGACCAACACCCCAGGTCCTTCTCCACAGGGCTGCTCTGAATCTTTTCTCTGCCCAACCTGTACCTGTGCCCGGGATTGCTCCGACCCAGGTGTAGGACCTTGCACTTGTCACGGTTAAACTTTATCAGGTTGGCATCAGCCCACCTCACAAGTGTGTCAAGGTCCCTCTGGATGCCATTCCTTCCCTCCAGCATATCAACCAAACCACACAGATTGGTGTCATAGGCAAACTTGCTGAGGGCGCACTCAATCCCACTGTCCGTGTCAGCGACAAAGATGTTGAACAAGACTGATCCCAACACCAATCCCTGAGGAACACCACCCGTTACTGGTCTGCAGCTGGACACTGAGCCATTGACCACAACTCTTTGCATGTGGCCATCCAGCCAGTTCTTTATCCACCCAGTGGTCCACCTACCAAACTGATGTCTCTCCAATTTAAAGACAAGGATGTTGTATGGGACAGCGTCAAACGCTTTGCATAAGTCCAGGTAGGTGACATTAACTGCTCTACCCCTGTCCATCAGCTCTGTAGCCCCATCAGAGAAGGCCACCAAATTGGTCAGGCAGGATTTCCCCTTAGTGAAGCCATGCTGGCTGTCACCAAGCACCTTGTTGTTTTTCATGTGCCTTAGCATGTCTTCCAGGAGAAACTGCTCCAAGATTTTGCCAGGCACAGAGGTGGGACTGACTGGTCTGTAATCCCCCGGGTCATCCATTTTCCCCTTCTTGAAAATGGGGCTTCTATTTCCCTTTTTCCAGTCGTCGGGAACTTCACCAGACTGCCATGATTTTTCAAATATGAAGGACAGTGGCTTAGCAACTTCATTTGCCAGCTCCTTCAGGACCCGCAGATGGATTTCACCAGGCCCTATGGACTTGCATACATTCAGGTTCTTAAGATGGTCTCGAACCAGATCCTCTCCAACAGTGGGCCCAGGTCTTCGTTCTCACAGTCCTTTTGGGGGTAAGGGCACTGCTACCCTGAGAATACATGCTCACCCTCAGCCACGTAACAGACAAGTTATTAAGCCACTCTTACTTGTCTTACCTGAGGTCCCTTTGAACAGATTTTTAGAAAGCTACCAAAACTTCCTCTTGTGCTCATCAACAGGGAAGGGCTCATTGGAAATGTGATGCTCCAGGGCAGCCTTGGATGCAGCGATCATGAGATGGTTGAATTCGAGATCCTCAAGACAGTGAGAAGAGCGTGCAGCAAGCTCACTGCCCTGGACTTCAAGAGGGCAGACTTTGGCCTCTTCAGGAACCTGCTTCGGAAGGTCCCATGGGATACAGCCCTAGAGGGCAGAAGGGCCCAGGACTGTTGGTTGATATTTGTTATTTCAAACTGCAGATTCATACTAATCTTCTACAAAAGAGCTTACCACATGTGAAACATTGGCAGAATTAAGTGAAGATTATGTGCATCCCATAATAGGTTTTGAGCAAGTCCTGTTTTCTTTTAATGATAAAGGAGCTGTAATGAAGACAGCAAGTCTCAAACTGCTTAGTCTCTAGGGAACTCTCATGGGAGGGAAGTCAAAGCCTATCAGTGGTGACATATTTTAAGGCAGATAATGATACAATCGGCCAAATAATAATAGTAGAGGCAAGCAGCATTTCCTCTCTTGAATTACCCTTCAGCTTCCACAGGCTTCAGCAGCCTCTGCAGCTCATTCGGGGGTTGCTGTGCCCCACTCCTCTGCCTCAGCACTGTCAGCCGTCTTGACAGAAGCTGGAAGACACCTTAGCCTGTTCGTGGCTGCTCAGGTCAGGTTTCTGGAATAGACCTGACTTCTGCGATAAAACTGGCTCTCCAACATGTTTGTTAGAACACACTTTAAAATATCACATAAATCCACTGTCAGTTTTGGAAAGTGAGGTCTCAGAAATACCGCGTTCCTCCAGGCTTTGTGGACACGAGTGGCTAGGCACAGCAAAGAGCCCTTCCTGGTGCAGAGCGACCGAGGTGACTGCAGTCCGGCCCGTGCCGGGGGCTCGAGGCTGGAGATCACCAGAGGCACAAGATGGCTGCCCAGACCTTAGCGGGGCATGGCGGAAAGCAAAGATCACCCAAGGGCCCTGTGGACCGCAGGACAGGGCGGCAGGTAGGGTGTCGGGCACGCGCCACAGAAACAGGGCTGGCGACTGAGACTACCCCATCAGGGACAGCATGTGAGGAGGGAACTGGGAGAGCCGTTGGGGGAATGCGCGGGCGGCCACGGGGGAGCCGTGAAGAGGGGCAGGCGGCCGCTGGAACCGCTACTGCATGAGCTTCGCAGGACGGGCTCGTGAGGGAGCCCACCCACAGGCAGCGGGAGCGGAACTGTCCCGCCCGCAGACTCCGCAAGTGCGGCCACTCCGCGGCCACCCCCAGCCCGCCGCGCCGTGTCTGGCCCCTCCTTCCGCCGGCGCGGGCTGTGGCGGGGTGGTGGCAGGGGCAGAGCTGCGCTGGGCAGCGGCCGGGCGTGGGGGGCAGTGCGGGTCGCCGCCGGGAGCCATGGGCCAGGAGTTGCCGTGGCTCAACCACTCCGGCAGCCCACGGGCGGCAGGCAGCGCTTGTACGGGGGACGGGCAGCGTGGAGGGCCCTTCGCAGCCGCCACCGCCGCGCTGCTGGCGGCTTTCATGGGGCTGCTGGTGCTGGCCCCCGTGCTGGGCAATGCCCTGGTCATTCTGGCTTTCCTGGTGGACCGGAGCCTCCGTAAACAGGGCAACTTCTTCTTCCTTAACCTGGCCATCGCCGACCTCCTGGTGGGTATGTTCCGGGGCGCTGGGAGGGGCAGAGGGCACCGGCCCGCGGGGCTGCCGTTGTCACCGCCGAGCTGTGTCCGCAGGCGGCTTCTGCATCCCACTGTACATCCCCTACGTGCTGACGGGCGAGTGGAGACTCGGCAGGGGCTTGGGTAAGCTGTGGCTGGTGGTAGACTACCTGGTGTGCACCGCCTCAGTCTTCAACATCGTCCTCATCAGCTTCGACGGGTCCATCTCAGTCACCAGAGCGGTAAGGGCTGGGCAGGGGTCGGGGGGCTAGGTGGGCTGCCCTGTCAAGCAGGAGGATTTGCTTCAGTCACCGGGCTCTCAGCCCCATCGCACCTCACTCAAACCGCTCAGCAGACAGGGGAATCAAGGCAGTTCCCCTCGGTCCTGGAAATAGTTCTGGGAGTAATCAACTTTGGCACAAAAGACATTTGCTTCTCACTTTCACATTGGAAGAGGTACTCTGCTTTACCAGCAGGCACAGCCTTAGCTGCTGCTGTTTCAGCTGAGTACTAGAGAGGTTTCACTTAGTTATTTTTCAGCCCACTGCCTCACCTACATTTCCTTAAAATGTTATTTTAGTTTCATTGCTCATTCTAAGTCACACTAAAAGACAATTATGCTTTTTGGCAAACAGCACAAAGAGGCTGCAAGATAATTTTAACAATTCATATGCAATGATGTTTTACCAAATTCTTTTTGAAGAGGGAAAAATGAACAGATTCGTAAACAGTCAACACACAGAATTCCTTTATTTTCTAGGTTCTGAATTAGCCATGATTTTTGCTTTCATAAAACAAACTCATTACTATCCCAATAGTATAAATATAAACTGGATGCTTTCAGCAAGGAAAACTGGTTATAATAAATTATAATAATTAGCCACTTTTACATACTTCAGATCAATCCCCATATAAAAATGCCTTCCCAGGCAAGAGTACAGAAGCTGCCAGTTGGATTAGGGCAGTGTAATAACATATAAGCAGGAATTTCTGAAGTTCTAAATTATTCTCCATATCAATAAAAATGCTAATCTTCCTACAAGACTGCCCCTGAAATCATTCATAGCTTTCTTAGGGATTGCAAAATCAGACCCGATTCAGACAAACTCAGGATTCCTCATCTTTGTGGATATTCTACCAGAACAGCATTGGCTTTGGAGAGTGAGATCCACAGACTGGGGCAGTAATCATGAATCCTATACAGAATTCAAGCTTGAGGACTTCATAACCCAAAACACTGCGTGGCCACATTAAAGCTTTGAAGACTGAATTCCAATTCACTATATGAATGTTGTCCAGTACACCAGGGAATTAGACTGTTGAGAACATCATCTTGATTTTAAGATTCTACTGAATGTTACTGCTCATATGGTTTACTGACAATTTTTTTGTACCTTAGTTTCTTTATTTTCTAAATAAGGGAAATCAGTTACTCTTCTTGTAAAGCACTTTGCGGACCACAACACTCCATCTATACATCTTAATTGCAGAGAAGAGTTCTGCAAGTCTTCAAAAAAGAAAGTCATAAAAGAATGAAATTAATCATACCAAACAAAATTAAAAGCTGTTTCTTGTGGTGCTATTTTCACATTAAGGAAAAAAAAGGCTATCTTTCTACAAAGCACAAAGAAAAGAACTTACATGGATGTTCTATGAATTCACATGCTTTTATGTATTTGAAATTAAACTATTTAAAAAAATCTAAATAAGTGGATTCTGAAGTGCTTCTTTTAGACGTTATGTAAACTGGTGTCACAGGTAATGCGACTGAATACACAAGCAACTGGTGACAACCACTTCTAGGAATAGCGGCAGTTGTTTGCCTTGGAAAAGCCTTGGTTTTCCAGCTTTTAAGATCTGATGCACATTCTCAAAACGTATCCAGCCGCCTTGATACTGTTTGTTGGAATTCCTATTTCAGAAACAGCTTTTCCATGGTACTGGTAAGCTTGGTATAACCCCTCACCCCTAAACCAATACATTATCAACCCTCACAAATCACTGAGGGGGCCATCTCCAGACGACCATGTTTGAGATACTAGTAATGTATGTGACTTCACTTCTCTCTCTCAGGTCAGTTACTGGGCTCAGAAGGGGATGACCAGAAATGCAGTGCTGAAGATGATCACTGTATGGATTGCTGCTTTTCTTCTCTACGGTCCAGCCATTCTGAGTTGGGAGCACATTGCCCAAAAGAGCATTCTCCCTGAAAGAGAATGTCATGCAGAATTCTTCTACAACTGGTATTTCCTAATGATTGCCTCTACTATTGAATTCTTTACACCTTTCATCACTGTTACATACTTAAGTATTTACCTCAACATCAGGAAATGCACATCCCTGAGGAAAGAAAACCTACCACCTCTTCAAGAGGACTGTGAAATGAGTTTCCCAGGGGAAAAAAGGGAACACACTATATTTTTTTGTAAAATCTGCTGACAGACACAAACATGAGAAGAGAGCTAGTAGCTTTTCTCCCCCACAAAAAGGCTTCAAGGGTTAGCGAACATATGCATGGCAATCAGTCACAAAATCTGAATGTCAGTGAAGACCTTCCACCACTCCAGGTGGAAGTCGAGACCAAGCCTCATAGGAGTGGTTTCTACAAAACTACAGAAGGCATATACAGCACTATCAGCAGAGTGGACACGGCTGACACCATGGCAAACAGATTTAGACTTTCCGGGGATAAAAGAGTAGCAAAGTCTTTAGCAATTATTGTATGTGTGTTTGGTTGGTGTTGGGCCCCATATACACTTTTGATGATCATCAGAGCAGCTTGCCATGGCCACTGTGTGCAGTATTCACTCTATGAGACCTCATTTTGGCTTCTGTGGGTGAACTCAGCCATTAACCCTGTTCTATACCCTCTGTGTCACATGAACTTCAGGAGAGCCTTTATAAAACTCCTGTGTCCGGGAAAAGCCAAAATTCATCCTCATATTTTTATGTGAAAAGCGTGAAGTATCTTCCTTTCAGTGGGAGCATGAACTGGCTAATACTGATCTGCAAATACTACAATCATCCACATAGCTGGAGAAATCACAGCAATGAAGAGAAAGATAATTTCTCAAAGCTCTTTGGGAATTATGCCGACAGTATATTTTCTGGTAATGGTGCACTAGCATTACAGTACTGAAAAGGGAATACAACATTTATGGCCAGTAATAAAAGTTCAGGCTCTTTCACTTTTCATGATTGTAAATCCTGTTGGTAAGGAATTTCATAAAGTCTTAACCTTGAACCTGTTACATTTTACCCCCAAACCCACTCTAAGATACCAAGGGTCTCAGCTGTTAAATGTAGGATGCTTTTCCCTCCATTTAGTGACAAGCCAGATGAGATCATGACCAATGCAAAAAACTAAATACTGGTGTCTAGGAAAAGCATGGAACAAGAGGAAACCGGACTGGTCAGGTTAACAGAGCAGCTGATCAATTGTAGCAGGTAAGACAGCACTGATTTCAGTGGAAAAGGTGACTAAGAATTGTAGAACTAAGTTCAATAGGAATAAAAAAGGTGTTTGAGCTCTGGATATAAGCTATGAGAATTGAGAGAGTTCATGTACTGGATGAGTTTCCCACCTCAGCTATGATTTCCTCCCTGCCCCTGCCTGGATCCTGCATTGGCAGGAATCTACTCAAGTCAAGCCTCTGCTCCTCCTCACAAGACTGACAGGTATTACTCTTCTATCTTTTGCTGTAAGTATTGAGTAAGCATGATTAGTCTGAGATCTATGTCAGACAGATCTTGCTATAGACACAACTTTAGGTAAACTTCGCTTGGAGTTATTTTTACATTTCCAATTAGCCTTCTACTAGTTCTGAAAAAATGTTGTCTTCCCCTACCCGATCCATTGGATCAAGTCACAGTGGAAAAAAAAAAAAAAAAGATCTGAAGTGTTCAGACATTTTCAAAGTCATGTATCACGAAAACCACAACTTAGAAAAGTCTGTTAAACTTTATAGCCTTGCTACTGTGTGTTTGAAAATCAAGAACCAACAACTACATACTGCTGTTGCCATTTTGCCTCTGCCACTAGAGAAGCTTGAACAGGTAGATCGCAAGTTTTGACTAGACTTGTCCTATAAGAGGTATCAGTTTGAACATCATTAGTGATTCAAGTTTATTTCCACCATCATAAGCATTTTCTGCATAGCTGAACAGACACTTTACTGGCAGGTGATAGCTACTGAACAGCTGTAGTTGTCCACTGCCACAGCCAAAATGCATATTAGTACAGTCAATTTTAAAGTTTAAAGACAGTATTTTGAAATCATTTACTTTGTGAAATTTCAATAAAAGCAATTATAACTGTGGACGAGTCGTAGCTTTGTAGCCTTAACAAGTGGTACACGGGAAAAAGCACTAGCTACAACATTTGGGTTACTGCAGTTGAAACCACCACAAAACGGTTATTCAAAGACAGTTCCTAAGTTGCAAGGGCCAGCCTTGAGCTTTAAACAAACATGGTTAGCAAATACTGTATACTAGGAGGGCATATTGCTACTACATGAGTGGATCTACATGAACATGATCACCATGTTCTGCTATGGATGTTTTATAATAAAACAATCAACTTAAGAGTTCTCTTAGGAGGAACATTATCCAGATACAGAGCAACATAAAGGTTTTTCAACAGCATTAATTACATCACTTGGGCAAGTAAAGCCATTAGATCATCTACTCATTCCTCCTCCCCTCCAAGACAGACTTACACATCAGTAGATCAATGAAATTGTTGTCTACTCCCTAATTCCTGTTTCTTAGGATCATATTTGCCTTTTTTATAAAACATGTTACACTAAATTATTGGAGTCTCATTCACTATCTAATCAAGCCAGGTCAATTTTCACAAGTGGTCAACTGAAGAAATAAGGAAGTTCAATCAGTTAAACTTTAGAACATTACATTCAGTTAAGGTAAAACAAAATTTCAAAGCTTTCAGCAACTGGCATTAACTAACAGACCAGACCAGTTTTCAAAGGAGTTGCCATTGGCAATTGTTCTACCACTCTGTTTCCTGTGGCTTTTCATGTAATTGCCACTCATTACTCTAGCACAGACCTAGAATCCAGTAGGGTTTTCTACCCTCAAGAGATGTCATAAAAGCATTCTGAAATGTGAACACACATCATCTTGGCATCAGTTGGAAAAATACTGTGTTTGAATGATAAACTTCCACATCAGAAACACAGCAGCCTCCCAGCTTCTCCAGGTTAACTATGCTTTGCTTCTTCTGTCCCTATAGAACAGAAGTTCTTTTGGTTTTATCAAAAGGTTCAACATTAACATTGGATTCAACAGTGGGCTCTGAAGAGACATGAAACAACATGCGTTAATAGCAACTTTATTGTTTCACTGGTGCAAAATCATGATACTGAATAAACTTGTGTAATGTGTTTCCCCCTAAATTTACAGTAATGAAGGTTATACATATCTATATAGATTGCAATTTCTCTATTTTTATACTATTTGGAACAAAGTTATCTTGATAAATATACCCTGTGCACAGTATTGGTCCTCACTGAATGTCACAGAGCCTTAATATGCAAAATATAACTTCTGGTTTTGAATGTGGTGCTTTAAAATTCTCCAAACATGCATTAATATATTCTAGTTTTTAGGGAAAAATATTACACTTAGTCTTAACTTGCATTAAAAGAAAAGCACAAGCAGAATCTGACATACAATAATCCCAAAAATCTGATGCTCTGTATAAGGATCAGACATAGTTTCAGATGAGTCACTGCCAATTTAGAACTCTAGTGCTACAGAAGCAACAGTGAAAAAACAAGAAAATTCAGAACCTAAAGAACCTTACCATGTTACATGGATTTCAAAGAAAGTTTCAGCCATGCTAACTGACAAAACCTGCAGTTGCTGGTCCAACCTTTCAAATTGTTAAGAGTACCCCACGCAAGTGTTTGAAGTGTCAGACTGAACACACAAATGTTAACTTGACATTTCTGAAAGGCTCAACCTATAAATCTACCTTACAAAGAAAAACAAATAAACCATACGGTATGTAAATGAAAAGAAGTAAGTACAGTGTGTATCCTCCTAAAGAACAAGACCTTCATAAATTGGCCCCTCGGATTCTGGTGATTCCCTCCTCAGACGCAAGTGCTCCAGTGTGTTGTGAAAGTGTTTGTTAATTTGTTCTGTTTCTTCAGTAGACTCAAGGTTTGGGAGATCTTCTCTTATCTTCTGTATCAGCTGATTCAAAACCTGAATTGTCACCTACAGGAGAACATAAACAGAAGCCATCAGCAAGACCCGCATAGAAGTGCATTGACGTTGGCTTTAACAGACTTGTGTCTAAACTGTTTGTATTTGGACAGTTCTTAGAAATATTGGCAAGGCTGCATGCAGACAAACTGCTGGAGACAGCCTTCTCTTGCTTCTCATAGGGCTACTCTGATTTCAGAACTTTGTGGAAATTGCCCCCATGCCAGCAAATGTAACGAGTTTAATCAGTCATTAATCTGATAGATTTATGACTTTTACTACAGCATTTCTCTTATTCAACATAAATTGAAAAAGCTTTAAATAAAAAACCCAGATAATCAGATTGTCTGTGTGCTCTAATATAATCTGTTTCTTGTAGAAGTCAGCCAGGATGGTCATACCAGATTTAAAGTAGTTCTTAGTCACTAAGTCACTGCCTAGGAAAGCACATTTGCCTGGCGAGTCCTGCAATACACAGAACACCACTGAATCCAAAGGCTGTTTCTACATCTGCCAAGTGTTTTGAAATTCAAGATTTTATTTTCATCTCCATCAGATACTGCATCTCCTATGCTAGAACACTACAGCAGGAAGCCAGTTCAGTTGTTGTGAAGTCAGCAAATCCCTAAAATCTCTTTAGACATTCTTTCGGAAGTACAGGGTATTCATCAACATCTGCTTTTTCAAAAAGTTTACTTTTTACTGTTTACTAACAGCGAGTATATGCAACAATTATCCCAGATTGCAGATGCAGAATTTAAACAGGTACATGAGATGTCATTATCTGTTTCTCAAAACTAAAGCTTACACCAACCATATGATGCACTCAGCAGTGACCTTGAATCACTACCTGAAAGTAACGACTTTCTTTCCCTTATGGACATATTAAGTTATGTACCTGTAAAGTTAGATGAGCAAGTAGTAAAATTTCAAGTCCTAGTAAGTTTTAATCTAATAAATATTTCTGGTATCTAAGTCCCACAACATTTAAATTCATACATAGACAGAAAACGTTTGGTGTTTTCACCCATGTAAGAACGAAGCTTTATCCCAAATATTACTACCATATCCAGAATTTGCTACTCTTACTGCCAGAACTTGTGCCTCTTATAACTACAGAGCAAGCTGAAGACACATGATTTGGGGTATAAGCATGAATGAAGAGCTTAAAGAAATCCTCTTTTAAAAAGATGCAATAGAGAGAGTGCATTTCCACTCACTGCCTCATTTTCCTTTTCATAAAAGTAGATGTATCTGTTCAGAATTTCTATGAAAAGCTGGACTTGCAGAGAGGGGTCCATGCACTGATTTGCTATCTTCAGAGCCTTCTTTAGGCATTCCATCACTCTTTTTCCTCCATGAAGCTAGAAGGAAAAAAACAAAAGATTAGAAGATAAAACAACCTTAGGGAGCTCCAGTATCTCTTCCCTTGGCACATTTCCAGGTGGTCCACTACAAACAGAAAACTACACAAACTGCGCAAACAAGCTGTCATTGAAAGATTGACAGTTTAAGTCTTGTTAAATCAGGCAAAAACATGAACAGTTGTTGATAGCCCTTGATAATGAGATGAATGAACTCAATCTTGTAATATGTACACTAATGCATATTTTGAGAAACAGATTTCAAACACTGTTTTTCACAATTACAACAGTTTATGTCACCACCCCTGAAGAACACATAATTTTTTTTTTTTTACATTTAATTTCAATAATGCGTATCTTTAATTTGGAAGTTTAGTAGTTCACATGTAAGACATCTACAATAACAGACATGCAAAATGCAGACTCCAGTCTCCAACTCCTCTCCGAAGTTTGAATGGTACTTCCACCCTTAAAATTGAGTTGTCTCCATTTTGGTATGCATGCAGCTTGCACTGCAGTGCGATTTAGCAGCTTTATACATTAGAACACATTTCAACAAAGTCTGCATCACTAAGTGGTATATCTACTTCAAGTGCCTTCAGAAGAAAGGCAGAGCAAGGAGAAGGAAGGCAGAGGTAGGATGTGTTACACTGCTGTCCCTTTATTCTTACCTCCTCTCCGTTCTTGTCAGTATTTCGGCCAGACCAAAAGAGATGGGCACAAGTACTCACAGCCCGGCACTGGTCTGGCTTCTTAAGGAGCTTAGAGGCCGCCAATGCACACTGAGTCCTCAAAGGCTCGTGGTTCTCCTCACTGAAGCACTTCATCCTCTCAAATGTCCCGATTATCAAGGTGATTGCAGCCAGCTGTGCTTTTGAATCACTAATTTCATCTTCATACAGA